TAATAATAATAATAATAATTATTATTATTATTATTATTTCGTTCTGTTTGGCAAACGGGCAAACGAGCAAACGATATAATAATCTATAATAACGGGAAAACATGTCGTTTTTATGACAATATGTCGTTATTACGAGAAAAGATGTCGTTTTAACGAGAAAACATCTCGTTATTACGAGAAAAGATGTCGTTAAAACGAGAAAATATGTCGTTTTAACGAGAAAAGATGTCGTTAAAATGACATATCTCGTTATTACGACATAATTGAGTGGAAAAAAAATATGTGTGTGGCAGCAATGCGTCATCGTACAAATACAGAACTAATGAAATGATATTCAAAAAGATTTACCAATAATTATGAGGATGGACATTACCATATGCCAACCTGAAAATAATTTATTCTGATAGCCCAATATTTTTTCAAACGAGTAATTTGTGTTTTCTGTCAGCTGTTTAGAATCAGAACCTGCGATGATTCCAGATTCGCGAATGAATCACTCTGTTGATGTAATCGGTTCAGTTGATTCATTCGGACAGTTCACTCACGAACTGAATTGTTTGCAGCGGTTTCTCACAGAAATAGTAACAGGAAAGGAAAAACAGGTAATAGTCCATTTTCATATCATTTTAATTAACAATTTAAAAAAAAATTATTATTAATTATTTTATTTAATTATCAAAACACAAAGAACGTATTTTTCAGGAAATTATTAGTATTAAAGGGTTAGTTCACCCAAAAATGAAAATTTTGTCATTAATTACTCACCCTCATGTCGTTCCAAACCCGTAAGACCTCCGTTCATCTTCGGAACACAAATTAAGATATTTTTGATGCATTCTGACAGCTCTCTGACCCTCCCATAGACAGCAAGGGTACTACCACGATCAAGGTCCAGAAACGTAGCAAGGAGATCGGTAAAATAATCCATGTGACATCAGGGGTTCAACCGTAATATTACGAAGCTACGAGAATACTTTTTGTGCGCAAAAGAAAAAAAAACAACATCGCCCTAGCACCATTTTGGAGAATATCCACTGAACGCAAACAGCGTATGTTGTTCTGTGTCAGCTGCATCACACGGACACGCTGTTTCCGTTCAGATCAAAGCACAAACAACGCAGAAACGGTTGAACCCCTGATGTCACATGGATTATTTTACCGATCTCCTTGCTACGTTTCTGGACCTTGATCGTGGCATCAAAGACAATTTTTAATATAACTCCGACTGGATTCGTCTGAAAGAAGAAAGTCATATACACCTAGGATGCCTCGGGGGTGAGTAAAACACAGCCTAATTTTCATTTTTGGGTGAACTAACCCTTTAACATAATTTAAGGAAAAAAGAAAAAAGTTATTGTTTTCATTGTTTTTTGACTCGTGTAGTCTTGCATTTTAATAAATAATTTTGCAGAAGACAAGTAGCAGTAATACTGCTATTATTAAATTATATTATTTTTTAAATTATTAAAAATATTTTTTTTTTCATAGGACTAATAGTACTATTCAGGAACAAAATACAATAATGTACAAATTTATATTACAGATAAAATGGTATGAAAATTTCATATTATATTCATATTCATATAAATTTCACGATTATAGTGACCTAAATGATCACATCAATATTATCACCAGGGTTAAATTAGGTCGGGGCTATGCTTACGCTGGTGACTCATCGTGAACTTTCTCATACATTTTCAACAATATAGGCTATTTTAAAATTTTTCTCATTCTTACTAATTCAAGCAATGATATGTTTTTATTTATATGAATGTATCTCTGCGCCTCCTACTGGCAGAGAACCAATTTGCGTGTTCAGTAAGCCTGTCTGCAGATTTTGTTCAGATCAATGCGAAATTCCACTCATATAACCCCGTTTTAAATTAATATAATAGTTTATACTTCTGACTCATCCCTGTTCTTAAAAAATGGTTTAAAGGTTGCAGGTTTTTCATTTTATAATTTATTTCGTTTTTGTGAAAACCTGTAAATCATGTTATTACAGTCATTTTACAGTTTAATGTTACCATATACATTGCCCTACCCTGCTCATGGTAGGCTATTAATTTTTTATTTTGAAATTAATTTTTTCAGGTCTTTAAAAAAAGCCTTAAAAAGTCTTGATTTTAAAATTCCTGCAGACAGATGTAGCTTTGCACACTGCCAGCAACTAGAATGATTTTGATCAGCATTTCAGCATTCATAGCCTCTCAGCTTGTTATATTTTACAGTTTGTCTAATCGATATTAGATTTTGTTGGCTTTGCATACACATGTGCACCCCTCGAAAGCCTGAAACCTCAGAGAATTCTTGCATTGAACAGTTTAAAATTGTTTGAATGCTTTTAGATTGGCAAGACTTAAAACACATGCATGTCAAAAATTAAGCATTAAGCTAAAGGTGGAAATTTTCCAAAAGGCGTACAAAGTCTTAAGAATAAAATGTCGTGTTTTATGTAGGATAACCCGTTCAGGCAGAGGATCGCTGAGGTTTTCTCAGAGGATGGAGAAGGGAACATGACTTTGGACGACTTTCTGGACATGTTTTCAGTGCTGAGTGAAATGGCCCCACGGGACCTGAAGGCCTATTACGCTTTTAAAATCTACGGTCAGTTTGAAACCAGAATTATACCTAAAATTAGCAACTCTTTGTGGGTTTAGCTCAAACTGGTTTGAAATGATGCTAACCGGCCGCTCAATCAACCTTTAGTTAAAAGGTACTTCTATGTCTTTTGTTTTTTTCAACACTGAATCTAACAACACACATATTTAACAATTCAAAATGTGTGTTAAAACCCAAAGTTCATAACTCAACTCAAGTTCATAATTGTTAATGTGTTTTTTATGTAATGTAATTATTAGCAATTTTTTAAAGGATGTAATGGAATTGTGCATTGGATTTAATAGATTAATGATAATGTATTGTATTATTTATATACTAATATAGTTTTTATGAATTAGTTTGTATTGTAATATTTTCCATTTTAAGTGTAGTAAAATTTTTGTATTTTATGTGCTTTTTTCATTTATATATATATATATATATATGAAATATGCATACTATTAAGGTTAATTTTTGTATAGTTTTATTTCGTTTTAATTACAGTTTTCAGCTCAGTTTTAATTCAATTTTATTGCTTCAACTTAAACATTTCAGTATGATTGCCAAGGCAACCTTTCCAATATTTGTTGTCGGTTTCGTTTGTTTTTCACCTAAAATGTTTTATTTCAGGTTTGTTTCAGTTAATGAATATCAATAATTCACAAGTTCATTAATGAGGGAACTACCTATGAAAAGCTCGGTTCATATCTGTGTTCGTGCAGCCGTCTAATTAAACGACAGAATAAAAGATCTCAGAGAATCTGATCTGCTGCTGTCAAAAGAAAAAACTCTGTACTCATGCAACATTAACATGGGGTAAATGATAACGCTCTCAAACAATAGAGATCAATGATTTGAACAAGAGATTATACTCTCAGAAATAAAGGTACAACAGCTGTCACTGGGGAGGTACCTTTTCAAAAGGTACATATTTGTACCTAAAGAGTCTATTTTGGTACCTTAAACGTACATATAAAGTGTATATTAGAACCTAATAATAGGTACAAAAGTGTACCTTTTGAAAAGGTACCACCCCAGTGGCAGCTGTTGTACCTTTATTTCTGAGAGTGTATGTTAAAATTATGCATCTTATTCAGACTCAACACACCAAAAGATTCATTGTTAAAAATATTCAAACCATGGTTGCCACATATTAAATAAATTATATGATAAATATAAAATAAAAATAAAAAATATTTGTAATTATTCTAAAAAAACAAATTTATCGTATTAAATAAATAGACTTTTAAAATTATTTATGTTTAAAAATATAATTAAATGTAACAATAAAATAGGTAAATAAATTAATAAATAAAAAAAAACAATTGACTTGTGCTTTTTAAAGGCAATTTAAAAGCTTTAAAATGCTTTAGTAATTTATTTTATTGGTAGCTTAGACTAAAATTTAAACACAAATTAAATTAAATAAAATTTTGTTTATATTTATTTTAAGTTATTTACTTGCTGAAGCCATCAGAAGAGTCTAACAGCTTACCCTCGTTCTTCCCTTTAGACTTCAACAACGATGACTTCATCTGTAAATCAGATCTGGAGAAAACCTTAAATAAGCTGACGCGTAACGAGCTGACCGAGGATGAGGTGAGGATGGTGTGTGAGAAGGTGATTGATGAAGCTGATCTGGACAATGACGGCCGTCTGTCTCTAGAGGATTTCCAGCACATGATCGTGAGAGCGCCTGACTTCCTCAGGTAACAACTACACTGTAAATGACTCTTAACGTTTTGTTTCTATAGTTAAAACTAGTTTGGAATGAAAACTGTAACAGAATGATGCTTTGAATTTAATTGAATAATGATCACTTAAGCTGATGTTCTGTTTGAAATGGCTACTATAGTTGACTAAAACCATCAAAAAATTGTAATTTAAATAACAATGTAACTGAAATTAAATGAAAAAAAAAACAAAGTTTCTAAGGCAACATTTCTCAATTCATTTAACAATTTACTAAAATAATTAAAACTGAAAAAATAAAAACAATGTATTAAAAGAGATAAATGACAAAAACACAAAATTCAAACAAAACTCACACTAATTCAAAATATTGAAATATTAATGAATCACTTTAATCAAAATATTATTATTTTTTTTTATTTTAGTTTGTTTTTATTTTTTATTTAGTTTGTTTGTTTAAACATTTAAAGGGGTCATATGATGCGATTTCAATTTTTCCTTTCTCTTTGGAGTGTTACAAGCTCTTGGTGGAGGGGCGTAACATTTCAGTCTCACGCTTGAGGTATTCGGGCAATCACAATGCACTGGATAGCTGGCCAATCACAGCACACCTCGCTTTTTCAGACCGATGAGCTTTGTCAAAATCGACGCATTTCAGAAAGGCAGGCCATAGAGGAGAAACAATAATGTACAGTATGTTGAAAATAATGTGTTTTTTTAACTTTAAACTGCATAAACACATTTCATTACACCAAATACACAAAATAATGTTCTTTTTAGCAGCATCATATGACCCCTTTAAGCACATCTTTACCATTTTAAAGGAATATCCTGGTTTAACACCACAGTTACAGCATCTATGACATTAAAGGGATAGTTCACCCAAAAATGAAAATTCTGTCATCAGTGGTTCTCGCAGTGGTACTGCCTTTCTGGGCCTGGGAACGTTTCAGTTGCATTGCTGTCTATGCAGAGTCAGAAAGCTCACGGATTTCATCAATATCTTAATTTGCGTTCTGAAGACGAACGAAGGTCTTACGGGTTTGGAACGACACGACAGTGAGTAATTAATGACAGAATTATCATTTTTAGGTGAACTATCCCCTTAATATGTTGACTTGTCCCCAAAGGATTTTTTTCTATACTCATTCTATTATGTCAAATACTTCTAAACTATTGATGGGTGGTTTCACCAATTATATTAAACCAATATCACATTTTGTGTGGTAACATGTAACTAGGACAAGATTATAATACAGTATTATAAGTATATCCAATAAAACAAGATCTCATTTTGAATTTCAATTTATTAGTATTTTTACTAGAAGCTGAAAAAATTATCTACATTTTTTTCTGCTTGAAAGGTTCACTTTAATTTCAAGTGTTACTTGGCATTTCCTTGAAATTGTTTGTGAAATTTGTTTCAAAGTAAATCAATTTTACACCGACTTATCAGCTGTCTGATAGAGCTGTCTGTTGATGTTTTTAACCTGAAAATGTCTTCATCTTTTCTCTTCTAGCACCTTCCACATCAGGATATGAAGATCATCTGGACACTGAACAACAGGACAATTACTTTCTAAAGAAGATCTTTCTCTGCAGATTCAGAAGTCAGGGACAGATGTTGGCTTATGTTAAAATTTAAAACACAGAAATAAAGAAGGCACCTGTTTAATAAAATATAAGGATACTTCTCTTAAACATAAGCAAATACTGTGTGCAAAAAGCAAAGCTTATTTTTTTGTCAACCATATAGAGCTACAGCAAATCGACACCTGAAAATAACTCATCCGTCAATATTAAACACACATACAAATCCATCTCTTAAAAGAATCTTATTTTAATAAATCAAAAGTACAGATATCTACAAAAACTATAGATCAGTTTTCAATGTTTTTTTTAGAAAGTACAGTACAATTTAAGTAGATCTCTTTTTAGAGTTATTTACAATTGCTTCTTTTTTTTAATACCAAAATCGAATTTACCGATCTCCCCAGTTACCTCACAATCGACAAATGAAAACATGGTCATATAAAAGAATCTGTAAATGATATGGATGAGTCGTTTCAAATCAAGAAATACAAACTAAACGACGGACGTACGTATCACACGACATGACTGCACATCCGTTTAAGACAGAAAGTGGTACCTGTTTGCTAATGTTCTTCTCCACTTGGTTTGTTTGCAAATCAAATAAAAATGTTTCGCCAGCTGTCTGTTATTTTATTGTTGCATTTTGTCACTTTAAAACACCCTAAGGCCAGATTAACTTGTGTCTGAGGTCCATTAGCATGTTTTAAACCTCTAAAGCTCAGAACAGACAACTAGACCGATCTATAGCAAATAAACACACACAGACAAAAACATACAGGAGGTCAACAGTATCACCTTCGTGATGCATAGATCCAAAATGAAAGATCAAGTATTAGCTATTAAGACAAACGGCAAGTTGGGGACATTATTATTGGACAGGGAGAGAAGAGAGATGCCATGGGTACAGATGAAGATGCAAATATGAACCCAAAAACAGCATCTCCTGGAGGTGGAAAGAGAACAAGGTGCAAACAGGAAGTAGCTCAACATTTAAGCTTGGAAAAAGAAAAGTGGCCATTTTTAGGATGCGCCATATTGCAGCGAGAAGAGAATTTCATGCACTTCTGCCTCGCAGAAAAAAAACAGTCAAACACTGTGCTTCTCAGACTTTTAAAAACACTTTCAGGTCACGTTTCACCCCAAATCATATGGAATATATATATATATATATATATACTGTATATAACAATTAACTTCCCAAATTGTGTAAAAAATTAAATAAAAATGTATTACAATGATTTTTTTTTTCAAAGCTAGTACAACACACACTGCCCTGATATGCAAATAGTTGATATATTTTATTTATATATGTATATAAAATGTTATAATTTTTGTGCGGGACAGTAATAATTAGACCGCAATCATAAAAACATGCTTGTCATGAAAAAAAATGTTTATGGGGTGAAATTTGACAGGTTTTGTGAGATTCACTTATTTGGATTCTTATAAATGGAGAACTTGTTTTCACTCAAAGCTAACGGGTGCTGAAGCTTGTGATAAAGTTTCCTGACCTATTGCTGGTGAACACAACTGCACCGACATGTTTCATTTTACAGTATGACTACAAAACGTACATTTGAGTATACTGCAGTGCAAAGGCAAAACTACATGTACAACTCTCTAGCATTGCATTTCTTGCATTAATTATAAGCATGTGCTTATGACAACACACTATTCAGAACTCAGGAATGGTGGATTACTGTATTCTAGGTAGTTAAACCTAGTCATATGAACCAAATCGGTTTGTTTTTACACTGTGCAACCCAAACTAATAAGACTGACATGCTGTAGGACTGTGTTTCAGATGATACACGTACAGTCCTTTCATAATACATGAGAAATATGAACAAATTAACAAAACATAACTGATAGAAGACTATTTATTAAAACTGTACCAATAGCAGCCAATGCATAAAACTAGCTTTAGCCACTATCAGGAGAACTGATCATTCAAGACTTGTAGAAATGTTCCTTAGGGGAATGAAAACGTCTTAATCTCAAAACGAACATGAATTCGGCAGGTCATACTCCAAAACGCCTATCTTTATGATGCAAAACTATCACTTGGCACAAACTACACACAACACAAAAGATACTGATAAAGTGCATGGACTTCTGTATACGCGAGGTGCTTTCTCAAGTATAGCTCTGCTTTTCAGGTTACAGTCACCCATTTTCATTGCTTTTGGTTACGCATACTTGTTAACACTACAAACTCAGCATTTCCACTGCCTATCAAGGGCTACGTGTCAGTTTCATTTGATTACACTAGTAGATTAAATTCAAGTGTTTTTAATTAAAGAACGCTTTCATGTTGGGCCGTTTTCAGGTCATGATAAAGCAAGACCTGCACTCTAAAAAATGCTGGGTTAAATACAACCCAGTGCTGGGTAAAATAGGGACAAACCCAGCAATTGGG